CCATTCCCCCTCCTCCCGCCTTCCCACCTCCCATCAACAGCTGCAACCCCGTCAGAATTCCTCCCGTTACAATCACTCCTGCTGCAGGCACACTCACCCCCCCTGCTCCTGCCTTGAATCTATCCATTTTCCCACCACTCTCACTAACACTCTCAATCCCCTCACACACACCCCTTGTTTCTGTCGCCACTCCAATTGCCTCACCAAATTCACAGCGATCAGACTTAACACCCCTCCTATCTCGCTTCTGCTCCTCCTCTTCTTCTTCATCCCCCTTTCCTCTACTCTCTCGCTTCCCTCTATCTCTGCTTTCCCCTCCATCCCTTTCAACCTCCTTTTCACCCCTTATTGCTCCGTACCTCTCCTCCTCCCTCCTGTCTCTCTGCTCTAGGCTATCCTGAACCCTCCATAACTCCACATCTATTCTCTTTTCTTGTGCCTTCACCATCTCTTTTCCTACTTCCTGCTCCACGTCCCTTGCCGCCGGCGCCGCCAGGTGTGTTTTGAGTCGACTCAAAACACACTTTCCTACTTCCTTCTCCACGTCCCTTGCCGCCGGCGCCGCCAGGTGTGTTTTGAGTCGACTCAAAACACACTTTCCTACTTCCTGCTCCACATCCCTTGCCGCCGGCGCCGTATATTGGAGTGACTTTTGAGAATTCTCAAAAGTCACATCCCTTGCCGTCGGCGCCGCCACACTCCCTCCCTCCTCTCTTTCCCCTGAGCTAATTCGCCCCTCCATCCTCCTCTCCCCTCCCGCCTTTTCCTGCCCTTCCCCGTCTGTTCTTCTCAGATGAAAACCCGGAGGCACCGAGTCTCTAGACGTCTCAAACCCAGGAGGCCCTGGCGCCTCAAAATCAGCTTCAGCCCCTCCCAGATGCTGCTGCTGCTGTTCCCAGTGCTCATGCTGACCCTCTTGCCCTCTCTCCTGCTCTTTCTCTTGTGCCTGCTCTTCCTCGCGCTTCTTGTACCTTCGACCCTCAGAAAAAGCTAGCCTAGCAGTGGTAGCTTCTGCTAAAGCTGCAACCCTCCTGCCCCACTCAGACCCTCGGGAAGAGGACTGCAGAAGATTCAACGCGGAGGAGAGCGGTGGAGGGGAGTGCGGGAGGATGGGAGGAGGTGAGTAAAGGTGGTGAGGAGGGGAGTGAGGGAGAGGAGGAGGAGGAGAGTGAGGAAGAGGAGGGGGACACGGCACGGGGAGGGATGATGGGAGGGGATGGAGATGGGGGAAAGTAGGCTGGGGAAAAGGAGGGACCAGTAGTGGTGGTGGTAGTGATGGTGTTACTGGTGGTGGTAGGTGTCGGGGGGATGGTGACGGTGGCGGTGTCGGCAGTTTCTTTGCTCGAATTGGCGGCAGCGAATCAAAATCCATTGTTTCAAATAGCAGCTTCGGATCTTTAGGGCCCTCATGCCCCTTCACTCCTTCATGCCCCTTCACTCCTTCATGCCCCTCCACCCCTTCCTCCGGTCCTTGTGTTTTGGCACTTGAGCCTTCCATCCTTGCCCCTTTTCCCATGCTTCTCCTGTGCTGGTTCGGTGGCTTTCGATCCTGCTCTGCCTCTCCTCCTGCCCCCCACTCTCTTTCAACCCTCGTCCTCCACTCTCCCACGTGAGGTGACTTTTGAGTCGACTCAGAAGCCACCTCAACTCCTGCCCCCCATTCTCGTTCAGCCCTCGTCCTCCAGTCTCCCACATGTGCGGAGACAGGAGGAGGGTCATGAAGAGGTGGAGGAGAAGCAACAGCAGCAGCAGCAGCAGCTGCAGGGAGAATGGCAGCGGAACTGTTATTATTCCCATCACCAGCACCAACAACTGCACCAGCAGCACTAACAGCACCAGCAGCATCAGCAGAAACACCAGCAGCTGCAGCAGCAACAGCAGGATCAGCAGCACTAGAGGGAGCAGCAGCAGCAGCGGCAGGAGGGGAAGCAGGAACGGCTTGAGCTGGTGAGAGCACAGAGGCACGGTTAGAGAGAGCAGAGGTCAGGTGGGGCGACTTTTGAGTCGATTCAGAGAGCACAGAGGTGCGGTTAGAGAGAGCAGAGGTGAGGTGAGGGCCAACAGCAGCGTTGAGGAAGGAGGGGCAGTGCAGGGATTGCAGCACAAGGGTATGCAGACGTGTGCGGACGAGAGAGAGTGAGGTGGAAAAAAGGGCGTCGAGGGATGGAGGGGTGGAGGAAGGGAGTAGCTGTTGCTGCTGCTGATGTTGCTGCTGCTGGTACTGTTGCTGCTGCAGCGGCTGCTGCTGTTGCTGATGCTGCTGGTGTTGCTGCTGTGGCTTGGATGGGTGTCTCCCCAGCAGAACCCCCAGGGAGATGGGAGGAGTGTGCATGTTGCGAATATCTGACAACTGATGGGATGTGTGGGGGGAACAGGCAAGAGGGAGAGAGTGGGAAGCATGACCTGCGTTTGAGGCGCCTCAGCAATGAGAGGATGGGAGGAGTATGCATGTTGCGAATATCTCACAACTGATGGGGTGTGGGGAGACAGGCAGGCAGGACGCAGTGGGAGATTGAACTTCAAACCACGTCAGGATGAGTAATTGAATATTGAGTGAGGGTGGGGCGTGGGGAGAAACGGAGAAGGAGAGGGGGAGAGAAAAGGTACCTCGCACAGTCACATGCATCACAACCCCATGCATGTCCTTCATGCTTTTGAGTCGACTCAAAAGGTACCATCACACAGTCACATGCAACACAACCCCATGCATGTCATTCACCCACCACCATCCCAAACACCATTGCACACTGTACCACACATACCAAGAGGCTGGGCATGAGATGCCCACACTGCAGCCACCATCTCAACATCCACACTGCAGCCACCATCTCAACATCACAGCCATGCACGCATCACAACCCCATACAAGTCATCACCACTCCATCCCACACCCACACACCGTATCATACTGTACCACACATACCATGAGGCTGGGCATGAGATGCCCGCACTGCAGCCACCATCGCAGCATCACAATTGAAAACGGCCCCTTGGGTGCCTTGTCTTCCATTCCATGCATATCGAATCCCACCATACCATACCACACCACACCATACATACCATGAGGCTGGGCATGAGATGCCCGCACTGCAGCCACCATCGCAGCATCACAATTGAAAACGGCCCCTTGGGTGCCTTGTCTTCCATTCCATGCATATCGAATCCCACCATACCATACCACACCACACCATACATACCATGAGGCTGGGCATGAGATGCCCTCACTGCAGCCACCATCGCAGCATCACAATTGAAAACGGCCCCTTGGGTGCCTTGTCTTCCATTCCATGCATATCGAATCCCACCATACCATACCACACCACACCATACATACCATGAGGCTGGGCATGAGATGCCCGCACTGCAGCCACCATCGCAGCATCACAATTGAAAACGGCCCCTTGGGTGCCTTGTCTTCCATTCCATGCATATCGAATCCCACCATACCATACCACACCACACCATACATACCATGAGGCTGGGCATGAGATGCCCTCACTGCAGCCACCATCGCAGCATCACAATTGAAAACGGCCCCTTGGGTGCCTTGTCTTCCATTCCATGCATATCGAATCCCACCATACCATACCACACCACACCATACATACCATGAGGCTGGGCATGAGATGCCCGCACTGCAGCCACCATCGCAGCATCACAATTGAAAACGGCCCCTTGGGTGCCTTGTCTTCCATTCCATGCATATCGAATCCCACCATACCATACCACACCACACCATACATACCATGAGGCTGGGCATGAGATGCCCGCACTGCAGCCACCATCGCAGCATCACAATTGAAAACGGCCCCTTGGGTGCCTTGTCTTCCATTCCATGCATATCGGATCCCACCATACCATACCACACCACACCATACATACCATGAGGCTGGGCATGAGATGCCCGCACTGCAGCCACCATCGCAGCATCACAATTGAAAACGGCCCCTTGGGTGCCTTGTCTTCCCCCAAATACGTCCAAAACAACCCACTCTCTTCCTCCTCCTTTTTCTTCAGATCCTCCCTCTGGCCTTCCTCCCCCCTTCCGTCCTCCCCTGTACCCCCGGCGATCACTGCATCTCCAACAGCGATATTTGTGCTGGTAACAGCAGCAGGAGCAGAAACAGAAGCAACGACAACAGGATGTGCAATCAAATCGTCCCTCCCTGTTTGTCCTGCTCGTCCTGATGTTGCTCCTAATCCTGTCCCTGCCCGAGAAACAATAGACATCATCGTGTGCTGCTCTGGCTGTTGCAGCTGTTGCTGCTGCTCAAATTCCTGCTGCCGTACTGCTGGCTGTTGCTGCTGAGATGCTGGAAGCAAGGAGTCTGAGGGAAGGGACACTCCAAAGTGAAGCAGCACGGAAGCTTCCCCTTTCAGCACCCGAGCCAGGGGGATAGGCTCGGCATCCGAGCCTTCCGGGTAGGCCAGGATATGATCCGGCAGCTCCCTACAGGTGGTTCGGTCGCAGGGGTGGAGGGACGTTCAAAGATGGTGGTATAAGAAGAGGACTTTTGAGGCGCCTCAAAAGAGGATAGGGAAGAGAGCGGGAAAAAGGGAGGGGGAAAGGAAAGCTGGCCAAGCGCAATCATGTACCTCAGATGGATCAATGAGGAAATTATCTAAACTAGTCAAACGTCAACTATTGAGGTAGCTCTAGCTCAGCTCAATCGCCCTGCAAGCAGCAGATGCAATGCAAGCAGCAGATGCAATGCAAGCAGCAGATGCAATGCAAGCAGCAGAATATGACTAACCAGCAGAATATGACTAACCATAACCAGATGCAACATACAATCATGTACCAGAATGATATAAGCCATTGGCCATGGTGAAATCTGAAGCTCTGATTTGCATACTCTGCTGCCAACTGGTGCTGAAAATCACTGAACATGACTGAAACCGAAACTGAAAACGCTCACACTGCTTCAAACTGCTGCTGAACGTGACTAAAACCTGATTAAACAGGATGCCATCAGATTGCAACTTGGGTCACAACAAACTCACCCTGCTGCAAACTGCTGCTGAACGTGGCTGAAGGGGAAAGGCCCACTTGTTGCTCCCAGCGCCTCATCCAAGAGGCACCACGCATCGCACTCCTCCGCACCCATCCCCACTGCATACCCCTCTCCTCCCGCCCCTGCGCTCATCGCTCCTCCCCTACCTGCTCCCGTCTCTCCACATGTCCCTCCGTGCATCTCTATTCCCATGTGTGCTCCTCCTCCCTCTGCTGCACAAGTATTTCCTCCCGACATTGTTTCTCCACGTTCACTCACAACACCTGCTGCTGCTGCCCCTTCTAGCTTCCCTGCCCCTGCCTCCGGTGGTGTGGCCTCTGCACCTGACGCCCTCTTATAAGCAGCTGCAATAAAAGCAGGAGGGCCGAACCCAGGAGGAGCATCTAGAAAGGCAGTAGTACCTTCAATCGAACTGCCTTCCCACGCCGGCTCATTCTTACTAGCTGAGTTACTAGTCGCCCCTCCCTTCACTTCTCCACTCCTCTCTGCCCCTCCTCTCTCTGTCCTTCCCCTCTCTGTCCCAGTATCCATGCCCCTATCCTGAAGACCAATTCCCACAGCACTACCACGAGCAGCACCCAGAGCCATAGCGCTATGAGGGAAAGCAATACTCGAAGAGCCCTCAAACCTCCCTCCGCCGCGCTCTCCCCACCCACGCCCTCCCCGCCCCCCTCTCCTGTCCATCCACCTGCCGCCCCCATCACGACCCCCGTCACCCCTACCCTGTCCAAGTCCCCTGCTTCTACCACCGCCACCACCACCACCACCACCACTAACACCACCATAGCCCCACTCCTCCATTTCACTCATCCTCCACCTGTCCTCCCTCCCTGCATAATGGCCCCCTGAGCCTCCTCCCACCCCTGCCTCCCTATCCCCCCTCCCCCCTCCCACCCCTTCCTCCCTATCCCCCCTCCCCCCTCCCACCCCTGCCTCCCTATCCCCCCTCCCCCCTCCCACCCCTGCCTCCCTATCCCCCCTCCCCCCTCCCACCCCTGCCTCCCTATCCCCCCTCCCCCCTCCCACCCCTGCCTCCCTATCCCCCCTCCCCTCTCCCCGCCCCACCCATTGCCCTTTCTGAAACACCCCCCCTCCCCCTGTCTCTCTGGGATTCCACGCCCTTCCCGGCCTCCTATCCCCCTCTTCAGGTGACTGGTACCTCTTCCGTTCCCCCTCTTGCGGTGACTGGAAAGTCCGCCTTTCTGCCTCCTGAGGTGACTGGAAACCCCTCTTGTCCCCCTCTAGGAATGAAGCAAACGGCCTCCTTTCCCCCTCGCTGCCTCTGGAGGTTCTACCTGCTGTTCTCTCTTCCCTCTCTCCCTCGTCTCGAGCCCTCCTCCTCTCCCAATCCCCACCCCCTCCCCTCTCTTCTCCTTCCAAAGAACGCCCCCTTTCCTCGTCCTCCAACGAACGTCCCCTCAATTTTCCACTATCTCGGCCATGCATAAGCCTGCTGCCTTCCTCCCTTCCTCTCTCTCTTCCCCCACCCTCCTCATTTCTCATTTCTTTTCCTCCACCGTCCTCTCCTCCACTCTCTTTTCCCCCAACCTCCTCCCTTACCCTCTCTCCTCCCACACCCTCCTCGCTCCCTTTCTCTTTCCCTCCTTTCTCTCTCCTCCCCTCCACCCTGCTATCTCCAAGCTCCCACCGTTCCTCCTCCTCCATCCTCCACTCTCTCCGCTCTTCTCCCCTCCTCAAATCATACTGCCGCCCAGATAAGCCAGAAAGCCCTCCCAAATTCCTCTCCTGCAAAGAAAATACACCTTTAACCCCACCCGGGCTCCTCTCCTCGTTGTGTGCTCTGCTGCTTTCTCCGAATCGCGTTTGTTCTCCGAACCGCATTTGTTCTCCGAACAAATGTCTCCTTCTATCTCCCTCACCATATCTCCCTCCTCTCAAGCTCTCCCCCACTCTCTCATCAACACGCCGTCTCCCATCCCTGTCATTGATATCACAGTCACGTCCTGTGTACCCTCCAGGTGATCTGATGAGTGATCCAATGCTTCGCAGATCTCGCTCTGCTGATTCCCCTCCCACACGCCCTTCTCTTCCCAACACTTCTCTCACACCCTCTCCTCTCCCCTTCCCGCCTTTTCTCTCTCCTCTTTCCTCTCCCGGACCCACCCCTCCTTCCTCCCCTCCTCTGCACTCGCCTCCCCTACTCTCCCCCCGTCTAAGACTGTCCCTCACAACCTGCTCCTTTCGTGTGTCTCTCTCATTTCGCCCCTGCAGGGACGACGCTATTATATCCCTAACATCAACGATCTTAATCGCCTCTCTTGGCGCATCTCTCCTCTTGTCCCTCTCTCCCTCGCGCCCCCTCCTCTCGTCTTCTCTTCTCCCCCTGTCGCCGTCCCTCCTTTCTCTCTCACTGTCCCTCCTTTCATTCTCTCCACCTTTCCTCACACCCGCCTCTCCTCTCCCACACCTCCCTCCGTCCCTCGCTCCATCCCTCCTGCTCTTATCGCCTTCTCTCCTCCCAACAAACCCCTCTCCTTTCTCCTTCTCCTTCTCCTTCTCCTTCACTCCACCAACCACCCTTCCTTCTCCCCCTTCCTGCGATCCCCGTCGACTCTTCAAGTCTAGATTCAATGAACCAGCAGCAGGCCCTGAGTGCTCCTTACCCCGTCCCTCTGTCCCTTCTTTCCTCTCGCTCTCTCTCTTCCTCCTAACGGCAGTTAAGTCTCTGGGCCTACGTCTATCCTCCTCCTCCTCCTCCTCGCTCCCACTGCTGCTTCTACTCCAACCGTTCTTCCTGCTGCTGCCCCTGCTGCTGCTCCTGCTCCTGCCCTTGCTCCTGCTGCTGCTGCTGCTGCTCCTTCTCCTACCTCTGCCCCTTCCCCTGCTGCTGCTATCGCTACTGCTGGAGTCTTTGATTTTCCTCCCTGCACGTCCGCCGTTCGGTTTCCCCCGGCTGTAGTATCTATCAATGCTCCTGCTCCTACCCCTGCCCTTGCTACTGCTGCCGCTACTGCTGCTTCTATTTCTGTTTCTCTTGCCGTTAACCCGTTTCTTGCTGTGACTTACGCCCCTACTGCTCCTGCTGCTGCTGCTGCTCCTGCTTCTACTCCTGCCCTTTTTTCTACTAACATTATCAACTTTATCCCTGCTCCTGCTCCTCCTCCTACTCCTACTTCTGCTGCTGCTGCCGCCACTGCTGCTGCTGCTGCTGCTGCTGCGGTCTCCCCGCCTCTCCATTCGTCGAGCTCCATAACCGCCCTTCTCAGGCCATTCACGCTCGCTCCTCCTACCCTTTTCCGGAGAAACCCTTTTTGAAACGGCTTTCCGCGAACCCTCCTCCCCCTTGCCGCTGACGTCACCAACCCTCTTCGCTGACGCCATCCTCTCATGCGTACTCTGCTCGAATCTGCTTATCCCTGGTCAACCGAGCGTCGTTGACCGATAACGATGTCAAGAATCCTAGCGTCACCCGTTATTGTCACATCAGGCGTTAGTCATCACTCCCGCTGTTGTCACATCGCTTCTGCTGCAATCGCTGCTACTTTGGGTACGGTTCGAAAAAAGTCGCGGATTTATCGCTAATCGCACACGCCTCTAGCCCTCCTGCAAGCATTATTATTCCGACACATTCCTATTGTCTATCGTCAGCGTGAGCAAAGTCCTCTATTGCCATTAATCTCGTTGTTAACCTGACGAATTTCACTGCAGTCTCTTTCTACCGCAGCTGAATTTCACGCTAGTCCTAGAACTTTGGCTTATTCGATGGGTAATATCGCGATCTTTCGCTCACTTGCCTGGTCGCATGCTATTCGTCTGGCAAACTAGCCAAACAGTCAACATGCCAGCATCTAGCACGATAAGACTCTGGAGCATCTACTACGATAAGGTTCATAAACTGGCAAAACTAGTCGAAACGCGTTTTTCCAGCTGACTACTAACTAGTCGAGACTGTTTGAGCAGACCTAGTTGCGCGTGTTCCTTTGCTTCTTGGTCAAGGGATGGAGGGGAGAGAGGCAAGGGTTCCACTACCGAGGGCTGAAGGGTGAAGGGTGCGAATCATGTGCCAATATCGAGGGTGAACCGTTCATTACTCACAGAAAACCCATTTTGCTCAGCATCACTTGCAAAATGTCTTTATATCCCTACCCAAAAACAACCAATTGGAGATTCCACTGTTTAGTACACCTGTACACAAATTGTTGCCAACTTTCTTCAGGCTTCACTGAAATGCAGAAGCAGCCTCATCAGCTACACCTCATATGCGATTCACACATTTTTATCTGCCCGCTGCGCATGAGATCGATGCTTCGGTGGCATGTAAGGTGAAGCCACACCTGGCACCCCTGGGACTGGAGCCTTTGACCCAGCAGCACCATCCCTAACCGCTCCTGCACCCACCCCACCCCGTGCAACTCCTACACCCCCCTCTCCACCTCTTACTCCTCCCACATCCCTCACACCGCTCTGCACCCCTCCGACACCCACTCCACCCCTTGCTCCTCCTACATCCGCTGCATTACTACCAGCTGCAGGTTGGGAAGAGCCTATCCCAAAAGCCTTTCCACTGTTTGAACGTCTATAAGCTACTCCACCAGCAGCAGCAGTAGTGTTGGGTCCAGGTTTGGACCCTATACCCGCACCATTGACATTTGTCATGGGTCTAGTGGTTCCAGGCACAGCGGCAGAGGCAGCAGCAGAAGCACGGGCAGAGGTAGGTGCAGGGGAAGGAAAAGGGGCAAGGGCTCGTGTGTGAGGAACAGCAGCAATTGCTGCGGTGGCGGAATGGTTGGTACTGGCTGCAGATTGGGATGTGGCAGCAGCAGCAGCAGCAGCAGCAGCAGCAGACGGAGGAGCAGCAGTACCACCAGTCCCAGCAACAGTAGCAGGTGCAGCATTGAATGCAGGAGGAGCAGCGGACTTCGATTGAGGAGTAAAGGGTGGGACAGTGGAAGGAATAGGGCTGTTGAATGATGCAGATGCATGCACAGTTGGAGCAGGAGAACGAGCGGAGGCAGGAGGAGCAGGAACAGCACTGTTCCCCGCTGCTGATACACCAGTAGAGGCATCTGAGCTTCCAGCAGCTGCTGCTGCTGTTGCTGGAGGATGAGAGTCCTCCCTAGCAGCAGCGCTGACGGTTAAATCCTTCCTTACAGCTCCACTCAAGGACAGGTCAGTTGGTGCACTCTGCAGGTCATTCTGCATGGGCGCATTTGGTGCCAAATCCTTCTCGTTTGCCTCTCGCACGGCAGCAGGCCCAGCAACAGCCGCAGCAGAGGGTACGGCAGCAGGCACGGCAGCAGGCACGGCAGCAGGCACGGCAACAGCCGGAGCAGCAGGTACGGCAGCAGGAATGGCACAAGGCACGGCAGCAGGAACAGCAGTGATAGCAGGTGCAGGCGCCACTAACGGCCTTCCTTCCATCACATCCCAGCGATCGAATATCAACCTCCCCCCCCTGCCTACCCTCCCCCTCACCCTCAACTCTACACCCTCCCTCACCGCTTCTCTCCCCGCCACCACCGATACAGATGACGGTACCAGAGGTGAACGGCAGAGTGCATCACGAGGAAGAGGCCAGAGGGACACCGGAGGGGGCCGGTGGGAGAGCAGAGGCGGCTGTATGTGCAGAGCAGCGAGCTGCTCGAGGGAAAACGAGCGGGTGAACGGCATGGGTATGTCAGGAGGAGGGGCGCTACGAAGCACGCGACTCAGCCTGCCCCCTCGGGGAAACACCACCTGCCTCCGCCTCTTCTTCTTCAGGAGCGGGAGCAGATGGTCTAGAGGCGACACTGCATCGGTTACCGGCCCTGAGGTTACAGTCGCAGCGTCTGGTAACCACCCAGCCCAGCCTCCTGCTGCTCCTGGTAACGTCCCCCCTGCTGCAGCTGCGGCTGATCCTGCTGCTGCGATCCCTGCTGCTCCGACGGAGCCTCGGCGGCGAGTGACCGAGAGGATATTGTCAAAGTGATTCGCGGGAGGGAGGCCGCCTAGAGTGGCAAAGGTAGGGGCGCCGGTGCTGGTGGTGCTGGTGGCGGTGATGGTAGTGCCAGCAGGAGGTGGTAGGAGCTGGTATTGCTGCTGCTGCTGCTGCTGGTGCTGGTCTTCTGAGGTGGCTCCAGGGAAAGGCTTGGGGATCCAGGAGGAGAGGTCTGGGATGATCCCAAGGGCCTCTGCTTGTTGCACCGTGATTTCCTGGAGAAAATGACGACAATGGAACGTAAACACATACAGAGAACAATGTGATGCTCATGACACATTGTGATGCTCTTGCAGTTTGATTCGAACCCTTAGCCCTGCTAACGGCACAAAGAAAAAGGACAGTAGAATGTCATCTGCTAGCTGGTGATCCTAACCCGTTGGGATGGCGAGAGAAACAGTAACAGTTATGCATGCATCACGCATCCATGATGCATCCATGACGTGTCATGCATGGATGGACAGATAGATGTGCAGATGAGAGGACAGGACGGATTCGTGCACCCAAACCCATAAAGCCATGGCACTCAAATCTTGCGCAAGTTTGGGTGCTGAGGGGTGGGGGTTGTTGACTTGTCTGATTTCGCCGCAACACTTGTCTTTTCGCTGAGTCAGCAAGCTTCAGGGGGGAGCGTGCGTTTGGGGACTTGGAGGCCCAAATTGCAGAGTAGTGAAACCTGATGTCTTTTGAGACGTCTCAAAAATGGAGTCCCAAATTGCAGAGTAGTGAAACCTGATGTTTTTTGAGACGTCTCAAAAATGGAGTCCCAAATTGCAGAGTAGTGAAACCTGATGTTTTTTGAGACGTCTCAAAAATGGAGTCCCAAATTGCAGAGTAGTGAAACCTGATGTTTTTTGAGACGTCTCAAAAATGGAGTCCCAAATTGCAGAGTAGTGAAACCTGATGTTTTTTGAGACGTCTCAAAAATGGAGTCCCAAATTGCAGAGTAGTGAAACCTGATGTTTTTTGAGACGTCTCAAAAATGGAGTCCCAAATTGCAGAGTAGTGAAACCTGATGTTTTGGCAGTGAGTGTTGCTTCGACCAAATCAGATTGCGTCGCAACTACCGTAACCAGATTTTCGCCAAAATACAGCACAAAAAACGAGAAGTGTGCAAGATTACTAATCTTGCCCTGCGCGGCCCGCAATTTGGGCCTTGAGCTTTAAGAATTCTCAAAAGCCAGCTCGTATCAATTTGGGCCTTGAGCTTTAAGTAGTGCCCTCTCAGACTCCCCATGCCCGTATGCATGCACCTAAACGCTGCTCTCTCTGACTCCCATACGCACCTGCTTTGAGAGCTTTAGGAAGTGCTGATTCCTTGCTTGAGAGTCAATTCACAAAGGATTACTGCTTACAACGAGCACCGCTACACTACAGATACACACACACACTCGACTTACCCGATCCGAGAGCGCTGCCTGCTGCAACGCCACTTCGCAATTGATTAGCTCACGCTTCCTCTCCTCCCTCTGCACGCAAGCGTCAAGGCGTCAAGGCGTCAATGGAACCAACGAAGACGAGAAACATGGATGCATCCAGAGACCAAGGCATGAGACGCAGAGGAACCACGTGAAGCGAGGTTGTTTTTGAGATGTCTCAACAACAACCTCGCTTCACGTCGCAAGCGTCAAGGCGTCAAGGCGTCAATGGAACCAACGAAAAAGAGAAACATGGATGCCACCAGAGACCAAGGCATGAGACGCAGAGTCGATTTTTGAGACGCAGACTCAAAAATCGACTCACTACACGCGGAAACATGGATGCCACCAGAGAGCAAGGCATGAGACGCAGAGGAAGAATGGGTGAGGTAGAATGGGTAGACAGTGGTGCGAAACTAGCAGCTCTGAAGGAGAGAGCAGTGAACCAGAAATATTGGGAGGCAGGGCAGGGTGAGACAGCACAGCCAGAGGGAATTGCGGGTAGAGAGACGACTTTTGAGGCGCCTCAAAAGGGTGACACAGCACAGCCAGAGCGAATCTGCACTCACTCTCTCAACAGCCTGTGCCAGTTGCAAGGCATCTTCAATGTTCTTCTGGACCTGCTACAAAAGGGGATGAATGAAAAACGGAATTGCCAAAACGAGACTCAAGGCATGGAAGGGAGTCACAGGCTCAACATTGAAGGTGCGGCAGAGACGTTTCTAGGGCACAAAAAGCCCATCGATCGGCAACACATCATTTGAATAGTCGGAACGAGTATGGTAGGGCATCACATTGACAGGGAAGTAAGACGCACCCGCACGAGCTTTTCATATGATGCCATGTCATTCTCCCTCCGCTGCATCTGCACGCTCGGCACAAGGGGGATGAGTGAGATTGAAAGCACGCTCAACACGGCAATGTCAATTTGTACACGTCTCAAGAGTCAGAACACGTTAAGGGGGTTGCTGTCTGACATGTGATGCGTGTCTGGCATGTGATGCGTGTTGAGTTGTGTGAGCCCAACACACCCTAGCTCAAAATTACCCGCCGTGTGTTGGGGCAGTGGGCCCTCTCTCGCGGTCGGAAAACGTTGAATGGGTTGGTGTCTGTGATGGCAGGCGACGGCTGCATTCGCCGCAGAATGGGTCCGTGAAAGGGCTGGTGTCCGTGGTGCATGCTTGCTAAATCTACCGCAACTCTCACATACCCGCCGTGTGTTGGGCCGGTGGGCTCTCTCTCTCGGTCGGAAAACGTTGAACGGGTTCGTGTCGGTGATGGCAGGCGACGGCTGCAGGCGCCGCAAAATGGGTTTCCCCCATCGCTCCCTCTTGGACCGCCAGTAGTCGTACGCTGCAGCGATGATGGCCTGCCTTGGTACTTGTGCTCTCAACGCCTGCAAGCAGGAAAGACGAACGGAAGGGAGACACAGATGTTCAGTACTGAGTCGCCCAATGGGTTTGCCCCCAGCGCTCCCTTGGACCGCCAGTAGTCGTACGCTGCAGCGATGATGGCGCATGCCTTAGCACCTGGGCTCTCAGAGCCTGCTCAAGAAACAAGTGCGAGATCTATTTCGTGCAAACTCCGAAAACCAGTGTAAAACGGGCTTGCCAAAAACGAGTACAGCAGAAACGGGAACTCACGTCGACAGCTTGTTGCTGCTGCAGGACAGGCACTCGCATTCCCCCAGATGACACCTGTTTTGTGGTGCCGTGCCTCAAAACTCTTTAGCAGAGCGGAAACTCACATCGACAGCTTGTTGCTGCTGCAGCAGGACCGGCACTCGCACTCCCCCAGATGACACCTGCCCAGCAGCACCCGTCTGGTCCACCGCGCCTGCCAGCATGGCCGTCCCCGCCTTGGCCCTCGCCCGCGCATCCAGGAGCTCCATCTGGTAGATCATCCACTCCAGCCTGATGACGTGGCATAGGATGATGACGTGGCATGCGTTAGAAATCTGTGGCAAGATCGCATTGTACCACTCTGCACCCAGCAGCTGCCCCATTGAACCGCGCTACACCGCACTGTACCTGTCTGCAGCGAGCAGCAGTCTGTTCTGGTTGAGCACTTCCAGCCAGTCCTCATCCTCGTCGTCCAAATCATAATTTTGTCACACTGCACCGTACTTCACCGTACTGTACCACATGTACTCACACAGCACCATACTGCACCGCACTGTACCTGTCTGCAGCGAGCAGCAGCCTGTTCTGGTTGAGCACTTCCAGCCAGTCCTCGTCCTCGTCATCCAGATCATACTCCACGTACACCCCGTCGTCCTGCCGCACTGCGCGGCGGATATCACGGAGGAGATAAGAACATCACAACATCACGGAAGCACAACAGCACAGAATGGCTATCACACCGCGACAGCACGACAACTGGACAGGCCGAGACAAAGACAGACCAGTTAACCGTCGGATTTGCAAAGCGAGGATGTCGCACCGTGCTTGCTGCGAATGTACGACGACGGTTGGCGAAAGTTCGCCGGGTAGAGCTTGTCGTACGCTTCGACCACGCCGCAGTGAGGTGTCGGGATCTCCACGGACGGTCCCTTCTTTGACGGTGCCGGCAGGATCTGCCACGTAGGCAGGACATGACACGAACACAAGATGTCGACAGAAAGTACACGTCAGATCTGTTAGATTAAATTCGGAAAATATTCGCTGACTGATGCTCGTCGGTGTGTGCATAGCGACGCCCTGCAGAATCCAGTCATCGATGCAGGGAATGACGGAAGGGATGTCTTTTAGGGTTTCCAGAGAAGCCAACGGTCTGGACCTGCTCGTTTTCGGCATCGAGAGCGATGTGGCCATGATGGACGGTCCTCGATACGCCCTCGTCCTCCGCGTTCAGCTCGTCTGTCGATCGGACGATCGCGAGCTTCTTATTGATGTCCACTGGCCGCGGCCTGAAGGACGGGCGATTCATAGCGAGTACAGGAAACCCTAATTGGTGGTACTTAGATTCAGCCTGGCTTAGTCGGCGAATCCATGAAATGTTGACATTTCGGAAATTTGGAATGTACTTATGCTGTACACTATTCTTTGAAAAGAGCGCGAAAAAAAAAATCCTTTTATTGTTTCAGTGAAGGACCAGGGCTGAACTAGTAGCGCGTATAGCATACATGAAGTGCTGTTTACATTCTCCTCTCACATACAGAAGCAGTGGATAGGTTACAGATGGATGTCGCATTCTTTCTTGAATTCTCGTCTGCCAATGGCGGGCCACGAAATCGGCAATGAAAAGCTCGTTCAGTCAATTTCTGCTACTACGGTTACCAAACGAGGGAAATGCCAACACTCGATGGCCGCTGATCTTTTGTTGAGACTGTGCTGTTTTCAGAGCTGTTTACGGCCTGGTTTCTGTTTTTCAGACATTTTGGGTTGAAGCTAGATGCTGCAGGCGTATGATTTGTGTTCGAATACTAAATCCCTGAGTTTGTAGGTCTGATCTGATTTAGCGCCTCGGGCCATTCACTTAACGCCTTACGACGTCTCAACCGCGGGTCGTCTCATACGCTTATTCTGAGAATCCGCTTGCCCGCCAGCATCCACGCCCTCCTTTTCGTCTTGTTTCCGCGACTCGCGATGTTTAAAAAGTACGCCCCCGTCTTGTCTTCTCATTTTGCACAGTGCATCGCGCGGTTTCTGCCTCCCTTTCTTCAACTCATACGATTACTGAGTTGAGTCATTCCGTCGCCTGCCTGTCAATTCAGTCCCGGCTGATAACCGTATCTGCTTGTCTCCTCCACCTCCTTCCTCCCCTCCCCACCCCCCCCCCTCTCCTTTTCTTCCTTTCCCTTCCCCCCGTCCTCCCTCTCTTTCCCCTCCTTGTCTTCCTTCACGCAGATTCTCCAACGATGAGGTAGCAGGGCAGAGTCAGCTCAAGGCGTGTTCAACGCTGCTTGACCCCCGTCCCTCCTCCCCTTTTGCCCTTCCCCCTCTCGTCACACAGATTCTCCAACGATGAGGTAGCAGGGCAGAATCAGCTCAAAGCATCTGTTCAGCGCAAAATTCGGCAATCCATAGCCGAGGAGGTGAGCATAGAAGCAGGGACTTGGCTATGGAGGCTCCGGGGTTGCAAGCACTCTCCCTGTGTCCTTCTCTCATCTGACGCTCATTTGCGAGGGGGGCGAAAGTACCCAACCCGACCCGAAACTAGACCCACTCGGTCTTCTGACATAATGCTCAGCGCGCAGCAGACTAACCCAGGCACTCCCTGTGCCCTGCTCTTCTCTCATCTGACGCTCATTTGCGAGGTGCGCAAAAGTTCCCGACCCGAAACGGCTTTTGAGTGGACTCAAAAGGCACTCCCTGTGCCCTGCTCTTCTCTCCTCTGAAAGTACTCGACCCGAAACCAGACCCAACCCCTTTTGCCTTAGAAGAGACTTTGACAGGTCTCAACAGCACACTCCCCATGCGCCCCTCTTGCGCCTCCCCATGTGATTCTTTCCCACTTTTCCCTCTCAATCCGCCCTTTCATCCCTCCCCCTTTTCAGTACCCGAGTCTGGACTCTGTCTTGGAGGACCTTTTGTCCAGAAAGGGCCATTGAAGCGCCTCTGAAGTACACTCCCCATGCTCCCCTCGCGCCCTCCCATCCGCCTTCCCCCCTCGCAGTACCCATCTCTGGACTCAGTATTGGAGGACCTCTTACCAAAGAAGGGCCGTTGAGGCGCCTCAGCGGGTCTCAACAGCACACTCCCCATGCGCTGCGCTGCGCCCCTCTTGCACCTCCCCATGTGATTCTCTCCCACTTTGTCCTCTCAATCCGCCCCTTTCCATCCCTCCCCCCTCGCAGTACCCTTCTCTGGACTCAGTCTTGGAAGACCTCCTACCAAAAAAGTCTCCCATTGTGATTGCCAAATGGTGTGTGAAACCTCGCCTTTTTTTGGAATGGGAAGGGAAGGGGGGGGTGGGGGAGAGCGCTTTAATAAACAGAATATTGTTAGTGACTTTATCAAGCAGCTGATTGTGTGTGTTTTTTTTTATTATTATTTAAATTTTATTTTCCCTACATTAGGTCGTTGACCGAATTCTGTACTCCAGCTTATAATGTCTGTTTACCGTACGAACACCCCATGTGGGTCATCATCCCTTGTATATGCAGCCCCAACCACGTGAGCATCGTGGTGATGAATGGCGTTCCGCTCTTGTTCATCATGAGGGACGACACCCTTAACGCTCACCCACCATGTCCCCACCCTCCCTCCCTTGTGCGCTGTGCAGTGCATTACCAATTCCCCCCTGTCACCAATTCCCCCCTGTCACCAATTCCCCCCTGTCACCAATTCCCGTATCTGCAGCCCCAACCACGTGAGCATAGTGGTGATCAATACTGTTCCGCTTTTCTTCAATGCGAGGACGGCCCCTTACATGCTCACCCCAACTGTTTCGCCCTCGCCTACCCAACCCCCGCCCTCCCCCTCCATTTGTACCTGCAGCCCCAACCACGTGAGTATCGTGGTCATGAATAATGTTCCCCTCTTCTTCAATGTGAGGGACGGTCCCTTCATGCCCACGCTTCGCCTGCTGCATCAATGTAAGTCGCCTCGCCACTTGTGTTATGCATTTGCACCACTTCACGCCACACCCCATAACGACGGTTCTAGCTGACTAATTTACTGACGGCGAAATGTTTTCGTCTCTTGTCGGCATGTCTTCTTGTTCCTTCCTTTCCTTTCCGTTATCCCTTCCCCTTCTTTCTCCATTTCTTTCCACCCCACCCATTCGCAACCCCTCCGCTTTCCCCACCTCCATTCAAAACCCCCCCATCCAGACCCGGACATGATGCGGAAGATGCAGGTGGATACGGGTGCGATCAAGCCAGCGAACCCCCATCTTCCCCTATTCGCCAACACCCCTCCCTTGCTCCCCCCATTTCCCCTTCCCCCAGACCCGGATATGATGCGAAAGATGCAGGTGGATAGGGGCGCGATCAAGTTTGTGATGTCAGGAGCTAACATCATGTGCCCGGGACTCACCTCCCCTGGTGGGAAGATGGACGACGGCATTCCTACTGACTCCCCCGTGGTGAGTGAGTGAGAGAGAATGCAACTGTGTAACGCTGAAGGGGTGCGATCAAGTTTGTGATGTCGGGGGCAAACATCATGTGTCTGGGACTCACCTCCCCTGGGGGAGAAGATGGACGATGGCATTCCTGTAGACTCCCATGTGGTGAGTGATAGCTGAAATATAGCCCTTAAAACACTCCATGAAAGCATGAGTTTGTGATGTCAGTAGGAGCCTAGCCTACATCTTGTGTCCTGGGCTCACGTCCCTGGGAGGGAAGGTGGATGGTGGCTGAGCCAGAATCAAACCCCTGATGATGGAATCATTGGTTATGTGGTGCTGTGCTGCTGCATGAACTCCTCCACTCGACGACCCCCCACCCCATGTGGTGTTGTTGCTTCCCTGCCCTGCCAGGCCATATTCGCTGAGGGCAAGGAGAACGCTCTCGCGATTGGATACACCAAGATGTCGTCAGATGACATGTGAGGCATGGCATGGCATGTGATGGCATGGCATGGGATGGCATGGCATGGGATGGCATGGGATGTGAGGCATGGCATGTGATGGCATGGCATGGGATGGCATGGCATGTGCTGGCATGGCATGTGATGGCATGGCATGTGATGCCCTGACATATGATAGTCTCACATGCAAGAGCACGCTCATATGTACAAGACCAGTCTGTGGTGAGACGATTTAGACCGCCTCATGACCCCTCATGACCCCTCATGACCCCTCATGACCCCATGAGCCTCATGCCTTAGGCCGCCTCATGACCCCTCTCTGGTATTCCTCTGCAAGGTCTTTTTCTCCTTTATTCAATTGCTCCCCTACATCTGCATCAAGGGCGTAGGCATCAACCACTCACCTCATCCCATGTGCTCTCCATTCATCCCCCTCTCCAATGCCTCTTCTCCAGTCGCAAGATCAACAAGGGCATAGGCGTCGACTTGATGCACTACCTCAACGACGGGCTCTGGAAGGTATGGTAAGGGTGGTTGGACTGGGGGAGTATGAGCCGTGGAATATATTGAGGTAGCACTTAACAAGCGCGCAACGTCAACATGGGCATAGGCATCTTCTTCTTCAAGCACTACGTCAATGTTGGGCTCTGGAAGGTGCAGTATGTGGAAGGTCTACGTCAACGGTGGTTTGCCTGGGCGGATATGGATTCTGGAAGGTTCCTGTAATGTTGTGAAAAAACTTTTGCGGAAGCTGCAAGATCGACAAGGGCATGGGGCGTTGTCTTGATGCACTGCCTGAACACGGGCTCGGGAAGGTACTTGACGCTGATAATCGGTACGGTGATGATCCTGTCGTTGTTGGTGTTACCGTATTACCCCGGATATACCACCCTAGGGTGCTATGATAACTACACAAAAAAGGGGGGGGGGGGGGTCTTTTCATTGGAAAAGGCTACATTACACCCAGGTTGTTACATAATGTATTGTTTTTTTATAGCACAAAAGGTTGAGAACAAAATGTACATGTTTGACGCGGTGGTAGATTGTTGGTTGGGTGCGCAAAACCGAGGACTGGGCGATAACGTTAGTCTCGTGGGTTAGCTGCCACATTGCAAGCTCCAACAAGGCCCACTGTCATGCCCTGATTGGTCGAAAACACACCCCCTCGTCGCTAGACGAGGATTCATGCAGTCACAAAGGCGGAGCGCCCGCAACAGCCTCAGCTGCCTCGCTGGGGCGGTCACGTCCTTGTACTGAGGAGGAGTTGATCCTTCTTTCTGTGCAGCGGCTCCATTCCACGAACTCGAGCAATGCTCGGCAGAGTGTGCTAACACCACCTGCCTCCTCGATCCCTTTCCTAGCATAAATTCAGGGTTTCTATGGCCAGTGCTATTTAGGCAAAAACTGCAATATTACCCGTACATAACACCCCCCCCCCCCCCGGGTGCTATACCGGATCGCCCCAAAAGGGGGGTATAGTAGAAACGAGGCCCGCTATAGCACCCCCCCCGCACAAGCCACCCGGGGGGTGCTCTATTTCGGGGGGTGGTATGTCCGGGGGAATACGGTATGTCGAGAAGATAAAATTGGTCAGCCTAATATGGTTTTGCTTCGTGTACTGTTGTGCCTGTGCAGATGAAAACCATTGACTGAGCCGTTTAGCCACCCCAGCACTTAGGATTGTCAAGCACGGGTGTTCTGTTGCAAGCACTGGTTGGGTGCTGAAACTGTGTAAAAATACTCATTACCATAGTTACATTAGTTGCATTGCCAAGGATCAGAATAGGTGCTGTTTTAGAAACTAATCACCTAAAGACCTTGTTGAACAATTGCTGGGAATGCAACGGTGACCCAAATCACAGAATGAGTGTTCATGATAGAGAAATATCTCTAAACCTGTTTACTGATACTGATATAGTTTAGGTATAGTGCAGCGGTGTACTCGAGGACAATCTCAGATTCCCTCGTCACGACCCCTCTACAACCCTCTCAAACCAACCAAATTGCTTCTCGCCCTCTGGACTTCAAATTTTTCAGTTTTCGCGATGGCTGCACAACATCACATACTACACCAGTCATGGCTGCACGCCAAACCCAGCTTGACTGCCTTCTGCTCCTCCCATTCGTCTTTGATGTCAAATTCTCAACAGATCCTCCCTCCCCCTCTCGAGTTTCTCACCGCCACCATTGACACGTGCGCACGCTGGTCTCTAGAATTTCACCATCACGTGGCCTGTAGCTTTCCCCGCTAGAAACATGGCTTGAGAAAGCCGCTATGTGTGGCAAGAAATCCAGGCCTCACAGGGCGTTTCGAAATCCGCGCGCCCGAAACCTCGGGCTTAGTCTTCCAATCCTTGACAGCCACGTCACCTCCGAGAATCTCTTTATATCGAGCTGCAGGGTGGCACCTCAAACTCCCCTAAGGACCTGTACGGCCGACTTTTGCTGCCGTCTTTTCCCTTCGCGCTTCTCCTCCTCTAGACGAGATTCCTTCCCAGAATCATTCCCCTCGTCGCCGTGCCTTCCGCTGAAGCCTTTGAAAATGCGTGCGACCCCGGGCCGTCATGGAAGTGAGACTCCCTCCCTTTCTCTCTTCCTCCGAAATAGGAACATTAACGTCCCCCTGCAGGTCAAATTCTCCTACCCACACCTTCCTAGAATCAGAACATCGGAGCTATGGCTTCGCTTCTCGCCCCACCTGCCGTCACACTCTCTGCTCTTCGTCTCACCACGGCGGCGAAATGCGCAACTCGGACCCCGCGCCTCGGAACGACGGATCAATGTCGTCGCATGACGATGCGACGCCGCCACTACTCTTACGCCTCCATGGCCGGCGATAGTAGGCTCACGAAGCCGCGGGGAAGTTCCTCCAATCCGCAAGCAGCCAGAAACGCGTCGCACACGGCGCAAAACGCGGCGCCAAATCCGACCGCCACGGCGGAGCTTCCGCTGCCCTCATTCCACGTGGACGTGGCGATTGCTGGCGGCGGACTCGCGGGGCTCGCGCTCGCCGCCGGCCTGCAGGCGCGCGGCATCGAGGCGGCCGTTTTCGAGGCAGCGCCCGCCGCGCGGCGATCGAACAACAGCACCGGCACGGTCCTCGGCGTTTATCCCAACGGCTTCAATGCGCTCGAAGGATTGAAGCCAGGGCTCGGCGAAGCTGTGATTGCGAGCGGATCACCGGTCGCGAAAATCACGTTTGTTGCCCGACAGATTCCGGCGGATATTGCAGATTCTGAATCGGCCAGTGCATCTACCAGCGGCGATAATAGCGGATCCGCCACTAACGACGATGCAACCAGCGAAAATTGCGACGGCTGGGTTGTGCGCGAAGTGCCCTCCCAAGTTGCGAGAGTGGTGGGGTGGGCCCGAGTCCAAGAGGTACTCGCCTCGTCTCTAACGAGACCCGAAATTATCATGCACGGACATCGTGTCGTGGCTTATCACCCCGTCGTCGCGGGAAAGCCTGTTGCCAGCAGCAGCGTATCGGATACCACCAAGGATGGCGCCGACGAGGGAGAGGTGGAAGCGGTTGACGTGGTGCTCGAGGTTGTGGGTTCGAATCTCAGAACTGGCGCAAATATTTCCAGCGTTGCTGCTCCGGAAGGAGCTGATATTGGGGAGGAGGGGGGTGCTGCGCAGCAGCAGCGCGAGCTGGTGGTGGTTCGTGCAAAGATTCTGGTCGCAGCGGATGGCGTGCGATCAGCCGTGCGAAATCAGATGATCGGCGACTCGCCTCGGTATTTGGAGCAGTTTGGATGGAACGCGCGTGTGCCTAGCCAGCCAAGCGGGGACGTGAGCCAACAGCAGAATCGAACGGTGCTTTCGTTTAAGGATGCGGTTACGGGTTACCAGATGTTCTTGATCGATGGCGGGAAGACATTTTGGCATGTGAGAACATTTCTTGTGTTTCCCTCCTGAACTGATTCAATTTGGCCCGACCCATAGCATTCTTCCAACAACCTTGGCTTATCTACCTCTTTTCCCCCGCACATGCTCGCAAATCCAGCTCTTCCACGCTGTCACATTGTTTTTGCAACCACACATGCTTGCCTGATGTCAGTGACAGTTGATACACCACTTTCAAATATTTGTGCTACCCTAACCGTCCCCCCAATATCAGGTAAGCGCTGCTGACCCTGATGGCCAGCTGAAGGCCGAGCTCGAACAAACACCCTTTGGTGGCTTTGGCAAGCCAGGCGTCAAGGACCGGTTGATGTGCCACGTCAGCAAGCACATTGCAGACCCCTCAGCGCATGACACCTGGCATACCGTGCTCCAGGCGGTTACCACAACGGACCCCGGTAACATCTACGAGCGGTGGATGATGGACCGGCCTCCTCCGAAGGATTCTTGGAGCGACTCCAAGTGTGGTAACAGGGTTGTTCTTATGGGGGATGCCGCACATGCCATGCATCCCGAACTAGGGCAAGGTGCTCAAACTGCCTTTGAGGATGCTCACCAGCTGTCCCTATGCCTTGCTGAAATCAAGGATGTGCTTGCCGAGCCTGCTGCCGTGGCTGCTGCGGTTCGGGAGTACGAGGGTCGGAGGATCGATAGGTGCGTGAGAATCCATGCGTACGCCACTGCAGCTCATGGGTTTGGAGAGGAGGCGAGACTTGTGAGGGAACTTTCTCCTCCTGAGAAGAGCAAGTTGTTCATGGAGTTTCAGAAGTGGATCCTTGCATATCCAGACAAGATCAAAGGTGATCCTGAATCCACCTACTTCAAGTGATCCTAGTGACACAGGATATTTTTCACCCTGATGCATGTGACGTGATTCAGTTGGGCCCTGGAAGGGTGATAATGCTTCAGTTGGTGCTGAAGCTGTTAGGACAAGTGACATGACAAGATACTGTCATCGCCCGGATAGTAGACAGTGTCGAATTGAAGACAGGGGGTGTCTTTAATACGGGTGTTTCTTATAGTTGGGTGCTTCCGATTATTAGCCACCTACAAGCGTGTACGACTTAAGACAATGCCTACTAAACAGTGCTAGGGTTTAGGGTTTCCTTATAAAGGGGGTGGGTGTCTCATAATCGGTTCTTGCATTCAGGGGTGGGGGGGGTACATGCATGCATTTATCCAATCTTACTATTTCTACCTAGCCCCCCTCAGTTACGCCCTCCTCATCTGCACTAGTAGATGGTGGCTCCTGCATCCCCAAGTCTGGCACTCGCCAGGCGTGCCTGGCTGTCTGCACGGGCTCAATCATGCGGTCAGCCTCGGCCGCCGCTCCCCGGTAGTGAGGGGTCTCCTGGTACAGCACCTCCAGGCAGGTGGCCACAGCCACCTCTTTCATGCCCTCCGCCTGCATCTCCTCCTCCTCCTCCTCCTCCTCGGGAGCCTTCCCAAGCAGGCGCGTGTTGTCGCCCGTGGTGCCCCCGAGGCACATGTCTTCGGTGACATCGGTGGTGCTCCTGACGCGCAGGTGGGACATCACCAGATGGTTCTCGGTCCCATCCAGCTTGCTTGAGATGCCGCAGTGACGGAACGCGTCAATGATCACCTGTCTGCACGGGCTCGATCATGCGGTCAGCCTCGGCCGCCGCTCCCCGGTAGTGAGGGGTCTCCTGGTACAGCACCTCCAGGCAGGTGGCCACGGCCACCTCTTTCACGCCCTCCGCCTGCATCTCCTCCTCCTCTTCCTCCTCCTCGGGAGCCTTCCCAAGCAGGCGCGTGTTGTCGCCCGTGGTGCCCCCGAGGCACATGTCTTCGGTGACATCGGTGGTGCTCCTGGCGCGCAGGTGGGACATCACCAGATGGTTCTCGGTCCCATCCAGCTTGCTTGAGATGCCGCAGTGACGGAACGCGTCAATGATCACCTGCCTAGGGACTTGATCCCACGCCTCCGCTATCCACTGCAGCACCACGGGATGCGGGGGTCTCCTCAGGTTCCATGCGGGTGGGTCACATTCAGAGCAAGCGTGCCGTCAGATACCGTACATCAAGAGCTACACTGGCAGGCATTTACTGATCTCCGACAGTGGACTCACCGTTCTTCGTCTTCAGGTAAAGGCCTTCACGCATGAACCACCTAGCGTAGCGAGCTCGCACCCCGGCCTTGAAACACCGGTTGATGGAAACGTCAAGTGGTTGAATTTGACTGGTGCAACCTGCAGGGATTACAGCCGGAGTGATGCTGTGCGTGCGATAGGCGCGAAGCATGCCCTGGGTGATGTGGCCGCGGTACGAATCCAGAACCAGCATCGCACGCCGTGCGCACTGGCCCCGCTGGGGGTTGAGATGAGGCAGCACCTCCTTCGTCAGCCAAGTCTGCACAGCGGTCTCGTCCATCCAACCGTTGTCCTGTGCTTGGACCACCACTCCTGCCAGGCACATAGGGAGATAGGGGAGTGAGCCAAACAGGGCCACGGTGGTCTCCCTAAACCCAAATTCGTTTAGCTCACCAGCGGGGACGTCACACCTCGGCACGTTCTTAATTTTGAACCAAACCCACGGCCGCAGCTTCTCCCCGGATGCCGTGCACGCGAGCATCACTGTCAGCCGCGTCTTCTCGTAGCCGGCCGTGCGGATCGGGACCGAGCGCGCACCACGGTGGTCAAGGGTCCTCTCGGCCGGCATTTCAACGAAGAGGGGCATTTGATCCGCATTGATGATGCGGCTTGGGTCGATGTTGTGCCGCGCCCTGTTGATCCTGACGAACTTCCAAAAAGACTCGGAGTCTTTTGCGCATTCTGCCAAGGCAAAAGAATACACACAAGGATGGGATGAGTCGGGATATGCAAGTTTATATCGTGGTAAGGACAAGGAGTTGACAATGCGCAGTGAATTCACAGCCTAGAACCACTCACCAGCCGACAACCGCTGGCCAACCTTTGTCTTCACCCGCATGACGAGATTCCAGCGGTCGCGGAAACGTTGGCTCCAGTGGGAGCTCGCGTTCCAGTTCTTCCCGGGGTGGTGCTTCTTCATCCACTCCCGGCTCCACTTCTGCGTGTCCTTGACCGAGATCGCCACCCCATTCGCGCGATGCAGGCAGATGTATCCGTACAGCGCCGCCTCCATGTCAGGGTGGTGTGAGTGGCGGCCCGCCCCATGCATGCGCTTGCGAGAATTCGCAGCGCCCTTGTACATGCCCGCTGCAGCCTGCGGGCTCCAGCGTCTGATGCACGCGATGCTCGCCGAAGACTCGGCCGAGGTCTTCTTGAGGGAGCCGAGCTCCGCGTAGCGACGCGCCCACTTCACCTTTTCGCGCACGGACCAGCTCCGCCTGGTCCTCTTAATCCCGCGACTGCGTGGGGAAGGGGGGCGGGAGTTAGCATTACAGATGGCGGGGTCTTTTGGCTTCGCCTTCTCAGGGAATGAAGGCATGGGGCCTGCAGCCTCCGCGTAGTCGTCGTCACTGCCCTGCGCCTCGTTGACCAAGATGTCGTCTTTGTTCTTGACAGCCTTCTTCTTCTGCCTCTTCGCGCCTTTGCTTGAGCCCGGGCCGCCATCGTCCTTCCACTTCTTCTTGCTCTGTCCGACGCGAGGGGCGACCTTAGCAGGAACCTCCACCACCTTAGCCTTCCCCTTGTCAGCAGCAGGGACGCGGGGTCGCCGCTCCTCATCCGGGCTGTCGTCGTCCGAGAGCAGCACCCGGGTTTTTTTCCGGGACACGCCTAAGCGGTGATGCAGCCGCCTCTTCAACAGAGGCACGTCATCATCTGACGAGACGCGCCATGGGTAGTTCGCGTCGTCCTCGCCTTCGAAGAAGACAGCATCACGGCCATCACCCGCCTCCGCCACCACAACAGCAGCCGTATTTGCGCCTGTTTCGGCCGCCGCATCAGCAACCGCATCCGCGCCTCCGTCATCGTCATCGTCGCCGGCGTGCCACGCCTCCACATCGTCGCCGGAGCCTATCGGCTGCATCCACCAGTCGTCATCGTCGATGCCTCCGGCAGGCACCTCGTCACCAGATGCGCTGTCGTCGTGGCCGTTTTCCGGCCAGTCCTCTTCGTCCTCATCGTCATGATCTTCGTCGCCGGCGTCTTCGTTGCCCTCTTCCTAGTCACAACTTGCGCCAGAGCCGGCGTTGGAGCACCCCGCCGGTTGGCACTTCTCTTTCGCCATGTCTACCCGGATGTCGTCACCGGGCGAGTTGATGTGCCCATAGTTGGTAACATGGACGTTAGGGAGAGGAGACGGCGCACTTGCAGGATGCTTACTACGCATGATAGAGCCTGCTTAGAGCTAAGATTGAGCCACTTTCGAGTTTCATGAGCAAAAAATGAAGCTCAACCTCGACTACCCCCCATTCCAGAGTGCCCCCCCCCTTGGAAGACGAGCCGCTCCTCTACGGCAAATTTGCTCGTAGAGGACAACTCAAGATGGCAGGATGCTGCCATCGTGCTGCTGGCAGTGTTCTAGAAGGCTCTGTTCCCTGCTGGCAGCAAAACGACACTAGAAGCATCATGAGATGCTGCCAGCAGGGCGGGATTCTGCCAGCACAAGCAGCATTGATGCTTCTCATCACGTGGCACGAGGTGGCGGCGCATGAATCGCATCAAAATGTGGCTGTTTTCAATTAATCCGCCCTGTGGGTGGTTTCTACAGTCTTCCCGAGTGTTACATGGTTCTTATATATTTTGCCTATTTATAAGAATTATAAGACACCCCAAACCGTCCCAAATATAAGACACAGCAAGCATTTTTTCTAATGTATAAGATAAGACATATATGTCTTCTATCCGGGCGATGACGATTCACATACTAGCGATGACATATATCTCTTCTAATGTATAAGATAAGACATATATACCAAGGTGGACATGGCCATTAATGAAGAGATTCTGAACCACCTTGCGCTAGTATGTGAGGGCAAAGTGAGTTGAATTAAAATAAGCAAGTACAAGGTTTCATAAGAGTACAAGGAATACGAAGGGATACAGTTAATAACTGTTTTACTGTTGCTGTTGTGGTTCGATACAGTGACGACTCGGGCAACTGCTCTGTAACGAGTCAGTCGTGTGTCCTTGCTGTCGCGCTGTATTTGTCATGTCAAAGGTCGCTGACCTTTGACTTTCGCGTAACCTCCAGCGGTTACTTCAGCCTCCGAGAGTTGACTCGCTGGTGCCTCAGTATGCGGTACTTCGCTTGTGCCTTAGTGTTTCGACACGATAGGAGCGCTTGACACTGATCGTTTCCAACACTCCCCTTCGCTTCTGGAGTGTCGCTGACATGGCTTTGTCCAGTCAGCAGCATGCAGTATTCGAACTTCTGCTTTCCGAGCTTCTTGGTCAAGTAGTCAGCTGCCATCTCAGACGTGGGGCAGTATGACAGCTTGAGCCTTCCCTTCTCGATCTCGTCCTTCACGAACAAGTATCGCAGGGCGATGTGTTTCGTCCTGTTCGCAAAACCGTTTTTGTTGGCGATGCGAATTGCCGACTGGTTGTCGCAGAACAGGGTAAAGTTGGGTAACTCAGCTAACTTCGCTTCTTCCAACAGCTCGCGAAGATAGAGTCCTTCTTTGGTGGCTGAGCAGAGTGCAATATATTCTGCTTCAGCTGACGAGAGAGCAATTAATTCCTTGCTCGATTGCCAGGAGATAGGCCCGATAGGTTCGAAGCAATAGATGTAGCCGGTGCGCGATCGTCTGTTGTCGGAGTCGCCCGCGTGATCTGCGTCGACGTAACCGATTAGCTTAGGCGGCGTGGTCGCGTTCCTGTATTATGTTATGCCGATCGTTGGCGTGCTGACGAGGTAGTGTAGAGCACGGTCGAGTTTGGCCATGTGTTTTGCTTCAGGCCTCTTGAGATGAGTGGCGAGCTGGCTTGCGGAGTATGAGAGGTCGGGGCGGCAGGTAACAGCTGCGAAGAGAAGGCATCCTAGCTTTCTCTGGTAGTCGCGTATCCCAGCGGATTTGAGTAGAGTAGATTCTTCCTCGTGGTTTCCTGTCGCGTAGCGGTAGGGCGTAGAAATGGTGGTAGGCGTGAGCGCGAAGTGTTTGGCGATGGTGTCGGTGTACTTAGCAGCATTGAGGTGAATCGCGTCTTCTTCCTCTCGAATGTTCAAGCCGAGGTACTGCGTGACGGTAGAGGAGACCGTGAGTGTGAGGTCCTTCTGTAACTCCCCTTCAAACCAGGTGGTGACGCTGTCAGTGGAGCCGATGTAGAGTAGGTCGTCTACGTAGACGATCAGTAGGATATAGTCGTCGTTTTTCGTAAGCCGGTACATGCCTTGATCGTGAGGTAGTTGGCGGAACCCGATGCGAATGAGGCGAGCGCGTAGGTGCTGTTGCCATAGCCGCGGGGCTTGCTTGATTCCGTAGAGCGATTTTAGCAGCTGGCAAACCAGGTTGGGCTCTCCGTTAGTACCGTGCGGTAGTTCCACGAAGATCTCTGCGTCGACAGGTGCGTAGAGGAACGTGTTCGCGACGTCAATTTGCCGCAGCTTCTTCTTCTTCTTCTTCATGGCGGCGATTGCGAGGAGAATGCGTAGTGAGGTGTGGCGACTAACCGGGGCGAAAGTTTCGGTAAAATCCCGTCCGTGTTCTTGGTTGAAGCCGCGCACGACCCATCATGCCTTGAATTTGTCAATTGTGCCGTCGGCTTTCGTCTTTATACGGAAGACCCACTTCCCGGTGAGTACTGTCTTGTTCCGTGCCACGCCTATAGTGTGAAGATTAGGAGTAGAAAGTTTAGAATGAAGAAGAGGGTTGCACTAGCAAGAATGAGGATACAAATAGCAAACCCTAGAAGGGTTGTACTCGCTATAGAGCACCCCACTACAGGCTAGAGCATAACATTCTGACACACCCCCATAGCCAAAGTGGGGTGTAATCAGCAGAGCAAGCAAAGCAGTACAAGCTCAGGGTGGATCACAATGTCACCACACATTCTGAGCACAAGTTCAAGAAGCAATAGTTTAAAGTTCACAAATGTAAGCAAAGCTAAAGGCTATCGCAGAGGGCAAGTGTGGAGGAGGAGGGACTATGAGAGGAGAGGAGGTAGTGGGCGGCAGCTGAAGCCGCTGGCACATGGCACAACTGGAGCAACTGGCACACGGGCAACTGGAGCAACTGGCACACTGGCAACTCGAGCAACTGGCACACGGGCTACTGGAGTAACTGGCTCCGCGGATAAAAGAAGCGGCAGACGAGCAACGGACTCACGGGCGACTGGAGCAACGGGCTCACGGGCGACTGGCGCAACGGGCTCACGGGCGACTGGCGCAACGGTCTAACGGGCGACTGGAGCTGCTGGCTTCACGGCGGCCACCCCCTTCAACCTCCCCAAACTATCCCACCCCCATTTCACACACCCCCTACTGCACCCCTAGGTTCACTCACACCCCACCCCCTAGCACGACTCCGTCGACTCCCACACACCCACCCCCCTCAGCAGCAGCTGCAGCAGTGGGAGACAGAGGAGGAGGAGGAGAAGGGGAGACCACACACCCGCCACCCCCTACTCGCCACCCCCAAACCCTAACACATGGCAGGGCGGGATGGCGGGTAGGGAGGTTACGGGGGGGGGGGGGGGGACTGACGCGCGGCCTCCCAGGGCGCCAAAACAGGCGGCAGAAGGGGCGGCGCTCGCCCCCCTCCCCCACCCGAGGGTCGCCTCGACAGGCGACGGGAAAAGGGGGGGGGGGGGGGGGTGCACGTGCCCTCAGTGCGCCGCGACTGGCGACGCAGCATGGCCGGGGCGAGGCCGGTCCTGGCGCAGCCCGTACGGGCCGCGCGCTGCCTGTACGGGCCGCGCGCAGGCCATGACGGGTGACGGGGGGCGACGCGCGGGTCCCCGTCGCCAGTCGCAACGCCTCCCGAGGGCGACGCGCCGATGGACGGGGCAGAAGCCCGCCACGCGCCTCGGGGCGCACAGCGGGCAGAGAACCGCCGCGCGCCTCGGGGCGCACGGCGGGCAGAAAACCGCCGCGCGCCTCGGGGCGCTCGGCGGGAAGAAAAACTGCCGCACGCCACGGGGCGTGCGGCACAGAGAGTAGCAGTAGCAGTTGCAGCGGAAGCAACGAGGTGGTGAGCCCACCCACAGGATCGATCCAAGGGGATCGACCTGCTCTGATAGCATGTGAAGATTAGGAGTAGAAAGTTTAGAATGAAGAAGACGGTTGCACTAGCAAGAATGAGGATACAAATAGCAAACCCTAGAAGGGTTGTACTCGCTATAGAGCACCCCACTACAAGCTATAGCATAACATTCTGACATATAGGAACCACTTTCCACGTGTTGCGTTCCTCCAGTGCCTTCAGCTCCTTGTCCATGGCTTCGCGCCATTTTTCTTTATGTTCCCCCCCCAGAGCCTGCTGAACTGTCGCAGGCTCTTTAGGAGTGGCGGTGCTGTGGACTGCGGTGATGAGTCTGAGAATCTGCAGTCCGGTCTGTGAGTAGCGGGGAAGAGTTGCATCCTCGGGATAAGCTGTTTCATCTCCCGCTTCTGGATCGGGTGAGAAATTTGGTCCTACGCGTTCGTCTTCGTTCGTGTTGACTGTTGCAGGTGTTACGTAACCATTGTCGGCGAAATGGTAGAAGGTTTCGGCGTTGGCACTTTCGCGAGGGTTGTCTTCGTCCATGGGAACGTTGACGGAGCAGAACAGAAGAGGTATGGCTTCTTCTGACGCGTTGTCCACATTTTGTTCGTCCAAGTCAGCTTCGTCCGCTACGGAGGCGAAGGCTCGGTCACCACGAAAACCACCTGTGGGATCTTCGTCCTCTTGCAAGTTGGCAAGGTATGTCTGGAGCGTGAGTCGTTCGTAGAAAATTACATCACGTGCTGCTACTGTTTCCTTGGAGTGGACGTCGAAGATTTTCCACGCGTTGTAGTTCTTTTCGATGGCGAGGTATAGTCCCCACTGTGCGCGTTGTGAAAATCGGCCCGCTCGTGATTCTGGGGGTCGGTACTGTACCATGTATCCGAACACTCGTAACATTTTTGTGCTGCCCTGTTTCCCTGTACATAGCAGATGCAGTGATGCGTTGTTCGGAAGCGATGATGACGACAGCAAGTTGTGCAGCATGACGGCGTGGTCCATTGCTGCAGGCCACTGGTGGTTGGGTAGCCGCATGCCACGTAACAGTTTGCGCATGCTGTTCTGCAGAGTCCTGTTCATTCTTTCTGCTACACCTTGCTGCTGATGGGCGTAGGGAAGGGAGATGAGCTGCTTGATCCCTCTTTCCGCCAGGTACTGCTTGAATCGCTGAGTGGTGTATTCCCCT